CACAAATACCGCATAGGTAGTCACGAGTCGCTTGGCAAAGGTTGTGGTCAGAGGTCTAATCAAGAGGAGAGTATGTGGCATGTGGTGCCCCCACGCTCACGGTTGGTGTCATCACCACTCTCTCTTCCCCAAGGTATTTCTACTGTCCCCATCTTCCACACCTCCAGTGTATCGCTGAACCATTTATAGCACAATCACAACGGCATTTAACATGTTCCATTCACACACATTTCAGCCACATACAATACTCATTCACAGCACACGACACAATGTTCATAGTCATTCACATTACACGGCACAATGTCCATAGTCCTTCATATTACACAGCACATAGGCCCACATTCGTTTACAACACACGGCACAAGTGTCTATATTCTATCACACAAAATTTTCAACATAATCCACATTTATCAATTTATTCCATCTTACACCCTATACTCTATTCAATTTTTCCACCACAATCTTACTATAATCAATCAATTTTATCAAACATATACATTCCAATTCATCCACATGACATTGCATAGCAAATTACATGGCATTCAAACATAATGAGATAGGGCAGAATCCCCCCTTACCTCAAACTGAAGACCTAACACAAAACGATGGTAGCAAATGGTCTCTACTTGGATTTCTTTCCTAAAACATATGGAAAACTCTATGAGAATTCAAAGAGAACTCAAAAAACAGAGAAGAGGGACGAAAACCGAAACCCTAACCATTAAAACTCACCTTCAAGCGTCCCCAACACAACTCCAACCTTCAATCTACCTCATGAACGGCTTTGAAGGCAATTTAATCGGTGAAATAAGGTTTTAGGTCAAGAAAATCAAAGAGATTTTGAAGAGAGAAGATGGAAATGAATTTTTACAACCCTAACCCCTTCAAATACACCTCTGATTGCGACACTCTCGCTGCAACGACGCCCCTTGTCGCTACAGCAAAAATCTCAGCAGAAAATGCACTCTGGTTTCTGTAGAATCTCGCTACAGCGAGGATCTCTCGTTACAACGAGACTGTTCCCAGAAATGCACCACAAACAGTCATCGCAGCGAGGGGCCTCTCACTGCAGCGAGAAGGCGACAGTTTCACGCCTTCCTCCCAGGGCCTTCTCGCTGCAGCGAGAATCCTCATGCTACAGTAACAACACCACAGTATTACATACTTAGCCTGTTTCTCAGCCCAATCAATTCAATTCCATCACATTTTCATATACGTCCACATCATTACACACATATACACGTCATCCTCATGTCAATCAACACACCCTATAGGGCAATCCACACACACACACACACATATATATATACACAATATTAAAAAAATTCGGGGCGTTACAAATATACTAAAAAAGAGTATGAGATAAAAATGGATATAATGTAAATAGTTACAGAGATACAATGGGGATGGAAGATGGAGACGATATGGGATATTTTGGAAAAATGCAAGGTGGTGAGTGACATTCGGGGTTATACACGGAATATTGTGTACGAATGCACCACATGGTTGTATAGTCATTTCTTGACTTGACTCCTGACCATTACCTTTGTTAAAGGGCTATCTATTGCATGCGCTGTATCCATATTGTATTGGGCCATCTGGCGACTATTTACATGGATGTGTAAGATCTCAGGATAGAAGCATCGAATAAATGTGGCCACAGGGTGGGTGAGTGCAGATAATGAAAAGAAATTGTGAATCTATGAAATATAATATGTGTTTATGTATTGAAATGAGAACTTGTTTTATATGATACTGTGATATGTAATATCATGATATTTTCTTTAATCGTGATAAAACGTGTGTTATGATGAATATGTGTTATGTATGTGTGGTAGGATAGAGACTCGCCACAACATTTTCAAGAAACTAGGACGAGTAGTACCAAGCTCACAGTGAATGAATGGATGAGAACTGCTATAGGACTTAGTTATTTTGAGTTATGTAATGAATACTTATAGTTCTATAGCATTCTTTTGTAGCAGTCATAAAACTACTATTTCTTTTATTGCAAATGAAAGCTTTAGAATCTTTGTTTTCTAAAGTACTTATGAATCAATAAAATTTTACTCTATAAATCTTATATCATTTTATTGTTTCTTTCTCATTAGAGAGTTTTTAAAAGAAATTTACTTTATCATTTAAATTTTTATGAAAAATCATCATATATTGAGAAAAGGAATATAAGACGTTACAGTTTTGAGATAAATGTTGTTGATAATTGTGTGTACCAAAAGTTCAATGAGTAAGTTTATATTTATAATTTTATATGCGTATGACATACTACTAGTCATTAATGATATAGGCATATTAAATGAAACCAAATAAATTTTGTTAAAGAATTTTGAGATCGAAAGATTATGGTAAAACTTCTTTTGTATTAGGAATCTAAATACACCGAGATCGCACTTGAGATATTCTTGAATTATCACAAAGAAACTATAGTGAGAAAGTCTTAAAAAAGTTTGGAATGCAGAATTGATTGTAAATTAGAAAATACCTAGTTGCTAAGAAAAACAAGTTTAGCCTCAATTAATGCCCTAAAAATTGCCTTAAAATTAAAGAGATGTAAAAGATTTCTTATGCATATGCTATAAGAGGTCCAATGTATCAGATATTGTATACATTGTTGGTATGCTTAGCAAATATTTAAGTAATCCTAGGGTGGATCATTAAGTAGCCGCCAAAAGGGTTACGTGCTATTTGGAAAGAATAAAGGGTTATATATTCACATTTCATAGATCAAATCATTTGGAGATAATTGAATATTTTAATTCTGACTATGTTAGATGCCAAGATAGTAGAAGATCAATACCAAGAAACATTTTTCTACTAGCTAGAGGCTCCATTTCTTGAAAAAATGTCAAACAAACACTTGTAGCTTCTTCCACCGTAGAAGCAAAATTTGTAGCATGCTATGAGGCATCCAAGTAAGGAATATGGTTACAAAATTTTGTCACTAAGCTACATATATTAGGAAATATAAAAAGACTACTAAAGTTGTATTATGACAATAAGTCAATAATTTTTTATTTTAATAACAACAAAAGCTCATCTCTAAGTCAAAACACATTGATATTAAATTCCTAGTTATAAAAGAAAGAGTATAGAATGGGAAAATATTCATTGAGCATGTTGGAACAGGCTCCATGTTTACAAATTCACATACAAAAAGACTACCACCGATGGTCTTTCATGAGCATGTTGCTCATATGGGTGTCATTATGTTTGAAGATATTTTAATATAAAGAAAGTATGTAAATTGTGTTTAAAATAAGATAATTATGTATTTTGTTTTTTTTTTTTTATAAAAATAAAGTTATTCAACATTTAGTTATTATCTTTTACTCTGTGATATTATGATAAAATAAAAGTAAAGTGTGACTAGTTAAAAATAGACATGTTTAGATTATATTACATAAAAAATTTTATGCTATACATCTATATTTGATCTATACCATTACCTATGTTAATATAAGTAACTACTTATAGATCTAATTACAATAAAGGTAATAAAGATCACTTTGATCCTATACCTATATAATATTATTTAAAAAGGATAACAATTTTGAGTTTATGATTATATAATGATAAAGTAGGAGATTGTTAGACATTTTTTTAATATATGAACCTCATATGTTATTAATTATGTATTATGTTATAATAAAGTTTAATTCTAATTAAAGTGATCTTATAAGCATAAATATATTGAGATTTATAACATATTATTTGGTATAGATTATGTGTAGATATCATAAATCTTATTTCTATTTTGATGATGGGCCAAATTCTAAAAATTAAAAATTAAAAATCAATAGTTATAACTCTTTATGAAAAAGATATAAGCTTCAAAAGATATAACTATTCATAAAAAGATATGTAACTAATATAAATAAAGGGTCATGGTTCCTGAGTCAGAAGGAGAATCTTCTTTTCTAATATTCCATCATTAGAGAAGAATAAGATAATTGTGCATAAGGACTTAGAAGATTAAAGAACCTAAAATTTCTTCTTCAAATTATCTTCGATGAATTTAAGAACACTTTCGCTTTAATCTTAAATCAATATTTCTTACTAAGTTGACATGAAAGTCTTCTGTTAAAATTTCAACATAGTTTCGTGTACATTACGAGGTTTTGTTTCGTACAGACCCTCAACGCAAGTATTACCACCGTTAAAAAAGGCTTGGCTGTTACCCCAAAGAAAGAAAAAGAAAAGTAAAAAAGCCTTGCTAGATCACCTGTTATTTAATATTTCAATAATCAACTTGCATTTTGCATTCACCCTGCACCATGTTTGACTTGCGAAAGATTAATAAAGCATTACCCAATTACAAGATACTCCAAACTAAATTTCTGCATTATTTAATTAGTAACTACTTTCTTATGCAAAGCAAGACTAAATTACATATTTCTAAGAAAGTAGAAATGTCCAAATTTAATTATTAACAATTAACAAACACTATCCAATATCTTTTAAACATTGGCTAAAAAAATAAAACCACATTTTTCATTAAAATATTTAATACACTTTTTATAATTTTCGATACTCTCAATGTAATTTTATAAACACTTTCCATTTATTAACTTAATTTTAAGAAGACCCATAATTATTTAAGAATTGCTACCAATACTAACATCTCATTCATGAATGTATAATTTAATTATCCATAGTGGCAATGTGTATTGCTTTTATTCCTAGAAAGCCTCCTCTACACTAGTCATTTGCGGGATAAAATTATATGTTAATAATTTAACCGGACAAATTTATTAGCTAGTTGACCTTTTCATGAACTAAGCGTCTGTTTATTTTTCACGTCCTTAACAAAACCACGTTCCCATTGCCACGTAAATCAAAATTCACTTCAAAATCAATTTTCAATTTACATAAACGAACCATAAAGAAACACATTTTGACACACTCAAGGACAAAATTGTGTATATGCAGTTCATATTTCATTTGGTGGAGGTGGTGGAATACACACACTAGTTATGTACGGAGTTCAAATCGGAAGCATTGTTCCAGCAGTGTTATTGACTACAGAAAACAAAACTACTTGAAAATATTATATATTGGTTCTCATACGAATAAACGGCGCAATGTGTGATACTACAACATACAAGGATAACATAATACAATTTAATCCATGCAGGAACCATATTGAGTATGCCATCAAACCCCAATTGCTGGCTTTTCTCTTCTAAGTCATCTCCCTCTACGGTCTTGCAAAAGATCACTTAGCTGCCAAAGTTAAAAAACTATGAAGTTGGCACGAAATATAATAATATAGGCTTGCCTGCTACTGCAGTCGTGAGAAGTATGATGATAACAAAAATACTAGTTAGGGACAAGACAAGCAGATCAGATTCAGCTCAAAATATGAAAGGAAATGAAAACCAACTCAACAGATAATAGTTTTCTTCACAAAGGAGTAAATCAAATTGGAATCTCCCCCCCCCCCCCCGCACCCAGCATCCCCAAAATGACTGCAATATTTTTTGTTTTGTATTTCAGCCTTTGCAGTAAAACTGTTTTCTTCATCTCTTAGTTCTTCCTATGATAAATAATCCGACCCTTAATGAACTCAATTTATCCAAGTTATCATCTGAGACACTAGTCCAAAATCCATATTGACACTTGAGTAACTTTATAAAACCAAATTACAAAGTTTGGAACTATCCCTATCATACCATTAATCTACAGAGAAACAGCAATTACCAGTCTAAAGATGGCCAGGATTCGGTGATCCACTGTCCAACACATTGATTTGACCAGAGATTTTTTCCTTACAGGCTGGACACATGAATCCAACAGAATCTGGTTGTATTTCAGAATTAACAGCATCATGGTTAAACTCTATTCCACACCACACACACACAGTGGTAAGTTGATTTCTGCCATGATCCATATTTAGCATAACTTCTTGTGGTTCAAACCGAACTGGGGATGCATACGTCCCTTCCATCATTGTGCTATTTGTCAATTCAGTTGGTACATCAGGCAGGATAGGAGAATCTTGAGCCTTTGCAAAATCATACTCAACCGTACCTATTTCATTCAACCTCAATTGCTGGAACCCCTTCACATTATCCTGTTCAAGGTGAACACTGTAAAATTGTTTTCCTCCCTGTCAATGAGCAAGATCAATAATAATTTTTCAAGGTAAGATCAGCACTGCCAACCAGTTGAGATGCATCATGGCAGAGAAGTAGCTAATTGTTCATAAGAGAATGAAGCTTAGCTTTAGCAAGAGTCCAAAGGAGGGGGAAAAAGTGCAAGGAGACATGTGCAAGGCTGATGACAAAGCAAGATATCATGCACACATTCCTAATATAGTAAAACTAAAGCCAGGTTAGACCTATGATTCCTTTGTCTACCCAAAAACATTCCTTCCAAAAGAAAGGGCTCTTTCTTTTTCTCTTTGTAAGATATATGATATGAGAAAGAAAAACAAAATCTACATGGAAAGGAAGTATTAGATTAGAAACAAACGAAGTTAATCAACCGACAATAAATAGACAAAGGGTGCTTCTAAGCTTCATGTATTCTTTAAAAGACATGTATGCTGAAAGTGAAATTGCTTATGGATGAAAAAAAAAAATAAACAATACTCAGCATTGCATGGAAGCATTGACAATTATATGTAATCCACACTATAGGATTATTATGGAATGATAATTGCTCAGACAACAAAAGCGGTTCTTAAAACTGCATGTGTTTTTAAAAAATTCAGGAATGTGAGCCAAGAGCTTTGCAAATAATGAAAAATTACAGCAACAGTTCAATACAAAATAAAACCAGAATACATTTAGAAACACAGTTGAAGAGAAGCACTGCAGCCCATATGCCATGCACGTGCATATGCACATAAGGGCCTCAAATCAATCACTTTCTAATAAGACCTTGATATAATATATGTAGGAATATTCCCCAAATTTTTCAACATATATGGAACCCTGACAATAAAGGCATCCATAGCTAATGCCTTATCCCTTATCTGAGCTGAATGCAGGAAAACAATCCAAAGATTGTTCTGTGGATATAGAGGGGTTAGAAACCCTAGAACATACCACATTTTCTTCAGAAGTTGGTATTACCATCTCTTGGACAATAGTGCTAACAGGTACATCCTTCAAGCCATCTAAATCAATTTTTAACTCACTCCTATTACTATTGTCTTCAGATTCCAGTATCACGTGATTTCTAGATAAAGGAAGTAAAGGGTTTTGAGAAAATCCATCCAAATCAATTCCAGACTGATCAAACCCCCCAACTGCCGATTTTGCATCATCTTTCCCTTTAGAAGTCTCAGTTGAATTAACATTTTTCTTATTTACAGATAACAAGCCCATGTTATCTAGAAAAGTAACCATCTTTGCATCTATCACTTGATCATCATCATCATCATCAATTTCCTCCACTTCTCCATCCAAATTATGAACCACATTTTTTCCAGTCAAGCTATCTTCCATTTTCCGTTCACTGATTGGAGACTCAGAGTCTCTGTCATGATCCAAATCACCGACAGCAATTTCTGAAGCAGGTATCTTATTCAGTTTAGCTGAACTGTGGGGTTCCATGACAGAATCCTCCATAATAGAGTTTTGAGCAATTTCAATGAGGGCATCCATCTTAGATATCCTTAAAGGCACATCCTCGCTAACTGGAGACTTGTCTGCCCTCTGGACATTTCCTTGACCCGGGGAATCTTCAACCCTCCTCACATAATTCCTAACATGGATCCCCACATGACCATTGTAGCGGCGCCTTTCCAGAAACACCTTGTGGCAGAACTGGCACTCAAACTTCCCATCTTTAATTATAACCCCATCTCCAACAGATGAACCAAGCCGATACCGCCTTGTTGTTCTCTGGTGAAAAGACAACAAGTGCTGCAAGTATGAATCCTTCTCATCAAAGCTCATGCTGCACTTGTGACATTCAAATAGGTCATGAATCTGCACATCTGCGAGATTTTCAATCCCCAACAAGGCCACTTCCTTCACCCGTTCATTAGCAACAGACAAACCAGGCACGTCAGAGTTAGTCGCAACAATCTGCCTTTGATCTTGATCCTCATAATAGGCAACACCTGCAGACTGCAACACAGCCCATAAATCTCCACAATAACATCAAAACAAATCAACAACAGCAACACACAACACAAGTACCTACATTTTCAGCATTCACTCTCTGTTCCTGAGATACATTTTCACTCCTACGACTAATCTGTAACTGTGCATCACTGTGACCAAAAAGAGACTGCAAATACGAAGAAACCTCTTTGCAAGACACGAATTGCTGTCCACTGGGGCTGAAGAACATCAAACAAAAGAACACATATATAAACCCTTGAACTAGAAAGGAAACAAACAGTAGCAAAATAATGGAAACAGGAAGGGAAAGGAAGAAAAACCTAATGTATCTGCGGCAATAAATCCAAGCGCGACCATCCTTTCTCTTCAAACCGAGAAGAAGCTTCCAACGAAGAGGCAACACATCACCAAAATCAGCAGCATCGACAATCCTCCTCTTCTTCCTCCGGCTTCCCCATTGTCCCGGCAAATCCCTCAAAAACCCTAACAACTCCTCTTCGTTGCACAACCCTTCGGTGCGTCTCCTCAGCTCCTCCGCGAAGGGGTTATCGGCGTTAGCCAAGGCGGAGAGATCGATGGCAACGCCGTTCCTGTTAACGATCTCCATTCCTCTGTAGCACTCCTCCAAATGCACCTTCACCTTGGGCTTCCTCCCTCTCTTCCTCTTTCTCTCCCCGTTGCCAAATCTCACGGCGTCAGGTTCCGGTCTCTGCTGAGGAACGCAAAGCTCCACTTGGTCGAACTTAGGGTCCTCCCTGATGAGTTGCTTAAGGTAATCGATGATGACGCGGTTTTCGGCATTTTCAGGGTCGTGAGCGGGGAGGAGAGGGGGCTTGGGGGCGGGGAGAAGTCCGGCGAGGCGGCGGCGGCGGAGGGTGGGGGAGGACTGGGGACGAGAATAGGTCTGACGGCGGGAACCGGCGCTCTCATTGAAGAGGGTAGGGTCGATTTTGGGAGTGACGAGATGATGGGTGGAGCGAATGTGGAAAGAGGAGAGAGAGAGTGCATAGAGCTCTGATTGTGAGAGAGTCGTTGAGTCAATGCATGCAAGCGACTCTACCTTCAATGGCGGTTCCTTGCTGACGTTGGTGCCCACTGTCGCCATGTTTTCGTTTGAGAAATTGTAGCAATCAAAGCAATCTTGTTCTCAAGTAATTATTATTATTATTATTATTCGACTTCACCTGCGAGCATTTGTTTGACGAGTAGGAAAGTTGGAGAAAGATGTAAAAGGAAGTTCTAGATGTTGATGCATTTTATTGCTTAGTTTAAATATTTGCATTTTTCATTTTATTACTTAGTTTAATGTCAATCATTTCTTGCTTCGCAATTAAATTTATTCAAGAACTAACTATTATTTATTTACAACTATTATAATAATAATTAAGGGTAAAACAGGTAGTGCCAATTAACATGCCAATAATAATAATAATAATAATAATAATAATATTTACCTTTTTTAATAATAGTTTCTCTGTTCTTTTTCATTTGTGACTTAAATTTATTTTATAAAATTTAAAAAATAATTAATACCTTAATTTATCTAAAAAATTATGTAGTTTCCAGTTCTATATTGATTTTTCATAATTAATTAATTTTTTTATATATTAATCTTACCCATCAACTTTTAATAGTGGAAAAATATATTTTTATAAATTAACATATAAGTAAATTACAAAGGGATTTGTGATTTGGTCTCATTAATTTTTAGACTTTGAAATAATTAATTATCAATCTTATAATAAATGTGTAAAATAATTCAAAATTTTGTAAAGGATAAAAGTATAATAAGAAAATTTGAAAACTTTCTAATATGTGTTTAAGATTACATTATAAAAAATAAAAAATAGTAAATTTTATTTAAAAAATAACATTTAATATTATTTATGCATTGAACCTTTTTATTTTTTAATTTTAATAAAATTTTATTATACGTATGATTTTATTTTTTAAACTGAATACATTATATATATATATATATATATATATATATATAACTGAATACACGTTAAAAATTAAAAAATATATTTTCTAAACTTTTAAAGTAAAAAATAATAAATAATTTTAAAAAACGGTAACAAATGGAAAAATTAATTAAATGCAAAACATATACCAATTAATTATGCTAATATAATGCATACAATACAATTAAAATAGAGATTAATTATTTTGAGTTAATTTGCTATTTTTAATCTTTAAAAAGTACAAATAGGACACAAAATATGAATAAAATACGATAAAAATATGGAGATACAAAAATTTTAAAAATTATAAGATACAACATAGTTATAATATAATGTATAAAATTAAATTAAAATTAACGTAGGATAAAAATTATTTAAAATTATAAGAAAGAAATCATGTTTAAACATGTTATTCAAAATAATAAATCAAGTAATTATAAATAATAACTTAATTAATTTTGTTATCTTTCAAAAATATTTTTTGTATTTAGTCCTTCCTAAAAAAATTGTAAACATGTTATACAAAATATATTGTTATTTTACAAAGTTTTCTTGTGATTTTTATTTAGTTTTTATAAATATCGTAAAACAATTATTTAATCTATCAAATCTTTAAAAAAACTAATTTAACTTATAAATACTATCAGTTTCTGATTTTATCTTTTAAAGTGAATAATCAAATAAAAAAATTTAATATTTGAAGAAGCCAAATAAAAAGTAAACAAAAAATATTATTTTGTAAAAAATATTTATTGAAATTTAAAATAATAAAAAATAAATAAAAATTATACATTTTTAGGCAACTAAAAATTTTAACCCACACAAAATTATGTTGCTTAAATAAAAAATAAAAAAGAACAAGATTAGTTTATATATAGGTGAAAACTTCAATACTGATACTTTATTTAGACTATTAATGAAATGAAATAAAAAAAATAGAAAAAAAAAGAAAGTAAAAAATAAAATGAAAAAATAATATCACGAGATTATTATATTTTATTATTTCTGTGATAGTATTATTCTTTAATTATAAAAATTACTTTAATATTAGAATTATTTATTATAATTGAGCAGTTACAACGATATAGCGAAAACATGTTAAAAAAATATCTTTTAAGAATAAAAATATTAAAAAAGTCACTACCAAAGTTTAATAAAGAAAACTTTAGAAAAACTTTAAAAAATGATCTTTGAATCAAAAAATAAGTTTAAAAGTCATTTACTTGTAAAGAAAGTATTAACAACAAAAAATGATCTATCATTTATGTATTTGTACCCATCCTCTTTTTTTGCTGTTAGATTTAACAAAATGCTAAATTTGAGTTTTTTTCTCTTCTCATGTGTAAAATTGCTTCTTGGTATTAAGTATAAACTTGCATATTGCAAGATTTCTATTTTCAAAAGGCAAGCTTGTTTCTCAAAATTTTCCATTTTTCTTAATAAACAATCTTACTATTATTTTATTTTATTTAGAAGTAATCTCTTTCTCGAACAAAAAAAAATTGGTTTTCACAATACTCTTTTGCAATTACTTTTTACTACCCTTCGAATTTTGTAATCATTTTAAATTATCATTATAAATTCACAAAACTATGAATAACTAAGTTCTTTTTAAAAAATATTTTTAAAATTATCTTTTATCCTTATAATACTAAACTCTTAATTAATGAATTCCATCATCTCCTTACATATATTTTTTATATTGCCTTGTAACACTCTTTCTTTTACTAAATAATAATGTGTTTCACAATGACTTGGCCAAACATAAAAAAAATATATATTTTTTCTAAATAAATGAATAAATTTTCATTTTAGTCCCTCACTTATGTAATATGATTAAAGTTAATTTTTTAAATTTAAAATTAATAATTATCAATCACTTTAATTTTTGTTATTAAAAGACATTAAAATTAAGTAAAAGAGTCATGATTTACCCCTTAAAGTGACAACTGAAAAGATACATAATGTTATTTTAGAATTTTTAAGAAATAATTCATTTTCATTCTTAACTTTTAGAATTTTCAAACAATATCATTTCTTTTTTTTTTTCTTTTAGTTTGTCTTATTCTATAATATTTGCTTCTCCAACTTTTTCTTCTACTTTCAATCACTATGAACTACTTCCTTATTATTGACATTGCTATAATTGGCTAATATCATTAATCATTTTCTTTCCTCGCCTCTAAGTCTTGACATTGTTATCATGCTAATATCATTGATCATTTTCTTCCCTCACTTCTAAGTCTTGCATCATGAGTCACTTTGTCATTATCGATATTTTATCTATCATTTCCACTACTTTTAACAACTACAAACCACCCTTTCTTTCATCGATATTACTCTTATTTGGACAAAACATTGTTGATTCTCTTTTTCCCTCACTCTCAAGCCCTACACTACAAGTTACTTTGTCATTATCAAGATTTTTTCTATCATTTACTCCCTCTTCCTCAACCACTACAAATCACCCTCTATGATCAATATTATATTATTTGGCCAAAAGGTTATTGATTTTATTCCTATCTTATCTCTGAGATTTTAGCTTGGCATAATTGTTAAAGATAAATGTCACAGTCGTTGAAAACAAAAACGTCATGAAAGAAGACAAACTAAAAGAAGAAGAAGGGTGTTATTACTTGAAATTATCGAAAGTTAAAAACAAAAAATAAACTATATTTTTTAAAAATTAAACGTTATTTGTTATTACTTTGTTATTCAATTTTGACGTCTCAACAATAAAGATAATACATTTTAAAATTTTAATTTTAAAAATTTAATTTAATTAATGTTGCATAATTTAAAAATTAAATATTTACTCCAAATAATTAATAATTGATTAATTATCACAATTTGTCTTTGTCGCATAATTATTCAATTAACGTAAATCTTACAATAATTGCACAAAGCACATGAAATTCTGAGTTGCCACAGTGTTGTCTACTTCTATACTTAAATACAGTGAACTACCTCTAGCTCCATGAAGCCATTTTTCCTAATCATACGAAAAATACTGAACCAAATGTCAAATGAGTGTCTTCGTCGCTAAACATAATTAGCATCACAATATTCTATCATTTTTCTTGACACATTTTTCTCATAAAATATTCCATGATTAATTCTACTTTAACATATCTAAAAATTTAGAGCATTGTTTTCAAATGTGACTTTTCATATATGCACAAATAAACAAATGACATCTATTTCCAATGAGATGTTAAGTAAGAGTCAGCCAATTGAATTTTTTTTTATATCAAACTGGCTTCTTTTACTCATTCATCCTTTTTTTTTTTTTTTCTAAATCATGTGAATTAACAAAATTATCTCTCTCTCTCTCTCTCTCTCTCTCTCTCTCTCTCTCTTTGTTATTTCAATAGACGATAAACCTAGTAAATCGATAGGATGGAATTTGCATGATAATTACGACAAAATCATCTCTCAAAACAGTACTTTTCACTCATATCTTTTGATGCTACGTACTCTAGATAGCTAATTTTGTAAACAAAATGCCATTTACAAGTTATATAAAAGTATGGGCTTCATCCTATGGGTATATAAACACACAAAGAACTCATATAAGTAATGTTGCCTTGCATATAATTGTTAACCTTAGTTTTACACATGATACTATCTGATATTATATAGATTCAGACGAAAGTCAATAACTAATCTCAGTACATATTCAGTTTCTTAATATGTTCCATATAATTAACGGATGTAGCTAGGTTTGCAGGTTTATTTTGTGTGAATATCCGAAGGCTAGCTATTTCAAAATAAGATGTATACTACAAAGGATAAAAGTGGATCCACCTTTCAAACATCTCAAAGCATCGTTCATGGAAGTATTCTGTAGGGGAGTGACCCGATCCCTGTTCGAGATATGTCAATTTTAATTTATACAAATACAATTAGTTCACATAAAAGGTCACAATTAAACATATCATTCTCTTACCTTGAGAGTTGCATAGGTCAAACGATATCCTATATTAGAATATACAACTCTATACCTGCATAACACAACAATAGTTCATTATGATTTTGACTTATTGAGAAATTATTCAACTTAAATGTGCTCACAATTTGATTAAAAAAATATACAATTTTTTATGTTTTCGTGACTAGGACATGCATATTATTTTAGTTA